CTGAGCTTTTAGCCACCTGGTGAGTAAAAGTTACAAGGGTGGATTCAAGAACTAAAAACATGTTACAGCTTACAGGTTAACTTGAAAAATCAATAAGGAACGCTCGCTGTAGAACTCTGCAGGGGTGGTAAAAGTTGGAAGCAGTGCTTTATTGATTTGCAGAAGCTGCAGGACTAGTTCCCTACTTGGTTCTGCTACAAACCGGTAGGGTGCGCGATCTAATTTTCATCGTACAGAATCCTACTTTACCGATCCATAGCGGTATTGATTAAATCAAAATCAGGCTCTAAATTACTATATTTACAGGTGGTTTAAATGATAATATCAAAATATTTGGTTAAAATAAATAATTTAAAAAAATTTAACAAATAAAATACATTAAAAGTAATAAGAAATCTAATATAAACATACAGCGTGTCCTAAAATATATTCGTATAACTAAAAATAATGAGAGCAAAGATATTTTAACCGCAATTTAACTAAAGCAAGAACACGAAGTAGATTGTAATTGCAACCCTCTTTCTATTTTGATCAAGTTTACGAGACAGTGGGCGATAAATTTTATTGGTTTAAGATTTCGACTCCACGCTGCGTTAGCGATAAAACACCGCAGGGCCGTTCTTAAACTTACAGTGGTTTTGTCTTAGGTATCTTTGTAATTAGAATATCAGGTTAAAAAAATTAGTTTTATAAAGCGAAATTTTAAACGACAAAATTGTTTAGATTTGTATTCAACAATTATTTATTAATAATTAAATTTAATAATATATTCAATGCATTTAAAATTAATACATGAATTTTTTTATTACTGTTTAAAAGTTAGTTTACCAAACGTTGATGAAATTAACAACATGTCCTTTAAAACAAATTGGTCAGTAGGAATTAATTAAATAAACCAATGCAATTCATCAATTAGATGCCACAAACCGCAAAAATTTTCCAACACAAATGCTTTTGTCGATTAATTGTATATTTATGATCGTATCGCTTGGTGTAGTACAAACAATGAGTTCCACGATGCGTACGAGTATGGCGCCACATTAACATTTCAATAGAAGATAATCAGAATATAATTAGCTCCACTCTTTTGTTGTAATGACCCGACAAACAATCAATATTCGTATACCAACTATTATATTCGTTTATGTATGTGTGTTGGGAGGGAACAAATGCATGTATATACGGTAGAAAAGCGAGTACATCGACATTGCAGTGAACCGTGACGAGGTCTTCTCTCATGAACCCCAGAATATCCTGCACATGACGTCGGGGTCGTTATCGAGCGCTAGCAGCAAAGACGCCGCAAGTCGAAAATGTAGTAACGCCGAGGCATGGAACGTGTTTGACAACTATAACATTCAGGACTAACGTACTAATTAGGAAGTTGCGATAGTTACCCGCGATAAGCTTCTTACGACCCCGCACACTACTGTAACACTTTTGTATCGATACTTTCAAAGTACTCCGTAAGCATACCTACTTGCGAAGGTGCACTTAATTACAAGAATGTTTTATAATTTTCTACATAAATTCAAAGCGTTTCATACCTTTATTACCCCACAAAATTTTATGATCAGATTTATTAAGTCAAAATCTTTATCAATTCAAATTAAATTAATTAACTATTCAGTATTGTAAATAAGTAGGATTTAAGATTTTAATTAATCACAATTAAACAAATGTAATTTAGGGCTGTCAGAAACTCCTAACACCAAACTGATCAACTACAATATATCTGGTTGAAATAAAATACGAAAAGAAGAAAAGGGAACAGAAAAAATAACAGAACTAAGAACCCGTATTGATTTCCCTATACTACACAAACAATCCAATTAGATTAACCCATTTGTATAATTCAGAAGAAATGACGAATTGGACCAAACCTTTTTTATTATACACCGGTGTGTAAATTATAATTATAATAAACTAGCGGACGATAAGGGCTAAAGGGAATGACAACGATAAGATGACGAACCGTTTCGATTCAGCCAGCTACAAGAAAATCATGAAGATAAAATCTGGAGAAATTCCAGCAACACGACAGAGAAGTTTGTTTGTATAGGTTCCAGTACCACCAAGAATTTAAGGACCACCTAAAATCCATAAACCAGATATTGTCAGTGCCATAAATTCTCCAACGTGCCAGTTGGCGAAGCTCTTTGTCACGATTTTACATATTTTCTGGAATCAATCAAAGTATGAAGTTGGTAAGGATAGCCTGGTAAGTTTCGAAGTGAACCTTCATTTACCACAGTACCAGTCAAAAGCGCCGTAGATGGTATTTCAGGAAACTCATTCCGGAGGGTTTACCGAAGTACATTCCAGTACTAGTGGAGTATTGTGTTCTACGAGCAATGCAAAGGAGCAGCAATGGAAAAAGCGAAACCAAAGGTATGGTTTAGTCACGTGATTGACACCTTTGTCATCTGGAAGCATGGGAAAGAGCGTCTCGAGAAGTTCCTAGAACACCTAAATTGGTAACACCCCATAAACAAATTTACCCCGGAAACGGAAGCTATTAAACAGTTACCTTTTTAGTAGCTACACTCTATTTTTTAATTCGGAGGAATTTTTTTAAAATGGAAGCGCTAAAAAGTAGGATTGCTATTGGTCAGTTTTCGGAAAATATTACACTAGGAAAATTCTACATGTTGCTGACAGCCATATTGTTGCAACAGCTATTACCGTATAAATCGTATAAAAGTCCTTGTTACAACAGATTAAAAGTATATATTTTTTTAGAATAAATAACTAATTAAATTCGTAAGTACAGGTTACTTAAAATCCTCCCTGATTTTGAAACTGCCGCCAAAAAAATAACTTTGAAAAATTCCTCCGAATTAAAAAATATAGTATAATACATTTTATCAATAATAATTTTCTGTTTCATAAACGTACATATACGTTGACTAACACTATCGAAATCTGGTAGAGTAACGTGGTGTATATTTTTCGTTCGAAAAGAGTACCCCACAATCGCTAAAAGCGTTGTATTAAATCAATAGAGGGGGCCGGAGGTGCGTTTGACAGGTAACATTTGTAACTGGTAGGGAGGAATAGCAGTGCACGGTTCGGCTTGGCAATCCTTCCCAAAAAAACAATGCGTTTTTCTTCTAAACCGTACCACCCTTTCCGAATTACTCCCATGTCGAGATTTTAGTGCCACCTCAGCAACGACCACAGTTAACCCGATGGATTTTAATTGACCCCATTAATTTTTTTTGTTTCAATCCACTTAATAATTTTATAGGTGTTGATTAATCAAACTGTTTTTTATAAATTAGGACAAATCTAAATTTTACAAACACTTATATATGCAATGTACCACGAAGGTGTCCCCAAAAACTATTCGCTCACTATGCGTATTCGCACTATTAGTTTGATAAAAATAAAATAAATTACAATAGAAAAGATTTATTATAATACAAATAGACTTTGTAATGTCTTTATAAGAAATTAGCAAGAAAAGATTTATTTTTATCAAACTAATAGTGCGAGTACGCATGGTGAACGAATAGTTTTTGGAGTCACATATGTATTTAAACAATCATTAAAAGTGACTTAAAAAAAAAAGGAACCTAAAAAAAATTTTAACACTTTATTTGCCACTAAACGGATTGAACGTGACGTACACAAATACCCGTTTTAAAAACTCCCACTTTACATTCCGCTTGAAAACAAAAACAAATTTTATTCCATTGTCGATTTACCGGAATTTCCGAATGTCTGCAATTTCACAATCGGACCGTTTTATTTATTTCCCGAACTATGAGCCCAGCGCGGAAAGAATAAAACCGGGCATCGGTGAACGCTAAATTTGCGCCCCACTGTCAACGAATCGCGAGTATATTCGAAAATATTTCATTGCATCTATCCTCACTGGCGGATTTGCCATAGTGCACGTTGTCTGCAACGTAACATAACGTGCGGGTCTGGATGTCCCTCGTAAAACTGTTCGGTGGCTGTACAACCCTCGATGAAACTCCAGACGGATAGCAAAAAGAAACGGGCTTCGTACGAATCATCATCGTGGTTATGACAGCATGCAATATGTAAAGAGAGATACCGAGAAAATATTGACAGAATAAACTACATTGTTTTCAACTTTTTTTAATATTATCTAGAAAATAAAATAGCGTAATAAATAACAGTTAATTTAATAATTCGTACGCCATAACAAAAAAAAAATAGAATTACTGCTGTTTGTACATCAAATGTTAAAAATGTTTAAAATTTGTCGTTAAAATATTTTGAACTGATTTCAAAGGAAAAATTTTGATGTATATAACAAGGTTTTGATATACTCATACCCTCTGAGCCATATCTATTATAACGCTTCTACAGTGTGTTAATTAATTATCGTACCCGACGTGATCATTGCAAGTATGCAACCAATATTGCAATACGAGATTTGCATATTGCAGTACCAATACTGTGATATTGGTTGCATACTTGCAATGATGACGTCGGGTACGATCATTAATTAACACACTGTATACGATATGGTTGCCACTCGATCATAAATTTTATGTTAAGAATACGTTTAATAAAAACCAAAGCTTCTTGCACCAAAGCTCTTAGCTTGTTGGTAATCATGCGTTAAAATAATCACTCTTACCGTCCGCACTTTTAAATCCACGTCCTCTTCTCTATTTTTTTTAATGCCTTTTACCATTTCCACCACTATCGATGCATCTAAACGCGTTAGGCTATTTACTCATGTGGACATTTTAGCACAGATTGCAAACGAAAGGGAACTAAGTAATTATTTTATAGTCTAAGCATATTTGAGGAATCGTTTATTAAAATTATTATTAAAACAATTCTTTTAGATTTCTGATCAAAAGATTTAGCTGAATCCGGTATCAAATCCACAATTGTGTAATACTAAAAATTTATGGATCGCGTGCAAGAAACGTCTTTGTCAATCGTCTACCGATTCTAATACATATATTAAGGGACCGATCAATGAAGTACGGAAGAGAATTTGTAGAACTTACCGTTTACCAGAAACAGGTGATATGAATGTAGGTTACACGACCGCGATACCTGAAAATCAAAGAAAAAATTATTAATAATACTAATATAATAATAATAACTTTTACTAGCCTTTTTTTTGAATACAATGTGAAGAAAAAACAATGTGTACTATATACATAGCAAAAGCTAATAGGGCCAACTCAGACAACATAGAAATGCAGCCTGTTCTACCGCTAGCCCCTCATAAAGAAACAAAATACATCTCAATACAATAGTATCCGCAACAACAAAAACTACTACTATAAACGTTACTAAAAAGATGACTACCCCTGACCGAACTGCCGCTCACACAATAAGCCCTTAAATTTAATTATTAAGCCCGAATATTTATATTATGTATATCAGTACGATATCTAATTTTTTTATGTAAATATACCGGAACCTTATCAACGAGTATTTTGAAAAATAGTACTCCTTTATGTAATCTGACTCTATTTAACATATTTAGTCATCCACAGTCCTCAAGCTTATGAGAAATTCTCTGGAAATTCCAATAATAATTAAGTAACCAATTCTTTATATCTTTTCTTTATAATTTTTTATTAAATCAAAAATTATTTGATTAAAACACTTTCCACCAATTAGAACTAACTAATAATAACTCGAATCAATCGAAGTAAATCGTATTAAATTGCCAACATCAAAGCAACCGATAATTATTTCAAGCGGAGATGTCAGGGTGTATTTTTCTATAAGATTTTCAGCAATTTCTGTCTCTGGACGAGACTGGCACGATTTGCAGCCGTACATATTTTAGTTGGCCCGAAACAGGCAGGAGGAGCTTTTCTTGCATGGTGGAATGCCCGAAGACGTAAACCAGCATCACCCGTCGGGCCTAAACAATAAATGGAAAACGTGTTCCACGGCACGGTTCGGTATTCCGGGTACAAAGCAAAAGATATAAGCATGACGTTTACATGCCAATCGATATCGGCAACTGGATTCCTCTCGAAACACATACCCACCTCTTTCGCGGATTTTACTATTCGCGATGTTCAAAATTAATCTAGCATATACCTCCTTTTGTATCACTAAACCGGAAATTGAATTTTCGTCTGTTTCCAATATACTTTATTCTTTTTTTATATTCGTTTATGCATCAGATAGGTTAAATCTATGGGAAATTTTATAAATTTTTAACGTTACGTTAAATTGATATAAAAAGTTTTATTTAATCAAAAGTATTTTCTCTTTAAAACTTTTTTTAACACTTCTGATGCTTCTTCTAAAGGAGATCCAACATCACACGAAATGTCAAGCAATTTTTTAATATACTAATCACAAAATCAACGTATGAATCTTCGTAGTTCTATCCTCTGTGTGGTGTACGAAATTAGAGTAATGCATGACATAACTAGAGCTGAGTAAGTTTCCACGTCTACGACGACTATATATAATTGACATATCTGCATCACTCTTACAGTTAGCAATGAAATTTAGGGATCACCATCAAAGGAAATAGAATTGGTTCGTTATTGAAAAGGAAACCTTGCCAGAACAGGCAGAACACCAGCGAATGTAGATCACTGTGCAGCGAATTTTACATAAAAACTTACGATTACACCCATATAAAATTATGGTAGTCTAACAGTTGAATAAGCAGGATTACCAACAAAGTCTCACTTTTTGTCAAACAATACTTGACATGTTTAATGAAAATGAGGATTTGATCATCATAATGAACTTTCCAAAGTTTCCCCCATTCGCTCGACCTTTCCATATTATATGAAGGAAAACCACGCACGTTTGTAGAAATGAATGAAAGCGATGAAGAAACTTTGGCAAGAAAATTTTCGTAGATGCCTTTTTAATTCAACTAATTTCTCGGTCAGGCTTAATATTTATTCCTTTTCTTATTTAATCAACACCACTTTAGACTTATGTTATTAAATTAGGATAATGTTTATAAGAAACGAAATAAACGGTAATGTTTATACTTGAACATTCTAAATTAGTATACTCCGGCGATTGATAAGCTTACATTAGAGAAGGTGATGAACGTTAAATAAACCAACCTCAGAATAGATAAACTGTTTACGTGAATTTAGTGAGAACTAGGTATAAATATGTTAACATGTAAAACCGGTGAGAATGAAAACTAAAATTAACTTATAAATTATATTTTGTTAGTTTAGAAAATTTTTAATTTAGTTTTTTTTTTTAATTGGGAATATGTAGAATATTTTCTTCATTCACCCTGCGTAAACTTAAACCTTGTTACGTTAGTGCAGCTGGTGATGCAATTCCGGGTGTCCGTTAGGAAGCTTAAGTAAAATAAATTAAATTTCTAATGCTCTTAGGGCGTAAGGCTGCTCGGACCCTTTTCTCTGAATTCACTCCTTCCACTGGATCAAGATTACATCTTTCCCGACGCGAGGAACGGTGGAGCAAAGATGGGCTTTCCTTGCCCGACGAACCAAGAACTAAATGAAATGTTTTTGCGCTTAGCTTATATTTTAAAAGGTTTATATGTTTATGTCATATGATACAAAAATTCACTTATTTAATAATATAAAATTTTATATAAAATTTTGGTAGTCAACAATAAACTGTAATACAAATCCGATTTGATAAATAAAGCTATTGTTCGTTTTAAATTTGTCGACGTTAACAATTAATCTAAAAAGGGGTACTTTTCGAAATGAATCCGAATTTTCTTTTGTACTCGTGAGAGTAGAATTTAAATATTTGCGAGCTATAAAACTCAAAATCCAATTAGCCACTGTTTCGAAGCTCCCTTTTTTGTAGAATCCGAGTTAATTATTTAATAAATTAGCGAGTAAAAACGAGAGACACTGCCGCGATCGGCAATTGGGAAGCGCTAAAGGGAACGGGCCATAATTAAACGTCAGCGAGAATGGTATTAATTTCGTCATGAGAGTATTCATCTGTCAAACGATGGCAGCTTTGAAATTGTCGACAAACGCTCGAGTTAGAAACGAACGATAGAATTCCTATCGCAGGCAAAATTGCATCCATACAATTACATACTGAGATATTTATCCTATTAGTAAAAACTTTTCAAAATTATTGACTTGTAGTGCCATTAAATTTGCCCTATTTGAGATAGTCTGAATTTAACTGTTTCTCTTCTCATAATTATTCCGTGCGCTGCACTGCAGTTGTGATAATAATAGCTCTTGTCATAAAAGACCCGGTTCAAAGTATAAAGAGCAAGAATACTAAAGCTTCACATACACATAGAGAGTATCTTACAAGCGAATACAATGCGTCACAATGTATTAGCTAGCTGTAAATACACGTATCTTGCTTTTCTATTCATTTTATCAAATGTATTTAAATAATGAAAAATTAAATCAATTTTGTATCAGTACAACTTCAATTTAATAACAGCGCATTATAGGAAATGCAAATATGAAGGACAAAAGAAAATTCTGGCGATTTAGTTCAGTAACTCCGCTTAATACCCGAACTGAATTTATTGCCTTCGATAAGCGAAAATCGATTATGTACATTAAAGTTTTTTGCTAATGAACTGTCACGATGAATACCTCATTTTTTTTGTATAATAAATAATCGTTAACGCTTACTCGATAGCCGTATTTAGGCCACAATACTTGCAACAATGAACAAATTCAAATTACTCAGCAACTCGAGTTTGTTTTATTAAATTCCGTCACACTCATTCACTCGTAAACTAAGAGAAAATCACGAAGTTTCATTATTTCTATCGTTACAGCAGTTTCAATTTCGAGATAAAATGGATCTAAAGATCTCGTTTACGATTATTAACAGTGTTTTGTCTGTCGAATATTTGTTGAAACTTAAACAAAGCTGTCTCTCGCAAAATTACCGCCGTCGATAACTTTTAAAGGTAAACATGAGAAGGATCCATCAATGTCAGCTGAAGAGCGGCGAGTTACTTAATCTACCAAACCAAGGAAAACTATGTTATCCACCGAAGATATTGACGCTTTAATAAAGAACGTTGACCATGTCAAGAAACGACAGATTACACACGTTCTATTTTCGTCAAGATTTATGATTTTACGTCAGAAATGTCCTGAAAATTTGATGCGATTAAATTCTAGTTAAAAAAAATACACATAACTAGCAACCAAACAGGATAAAGTGAGCGACGCATTCTGTTGATGTGGGGTTCACAGCTGACGCTCGATTTTGGCGGACCACCGCTGAATTTCACACACACTTTCCGAATATTGGACACGGCTGTAACGCCAACAGCCGGTCAAACTAAATTTACGCTGCTCACCACTCTCTCACCACTTGCTATAGTCCCGGTCGTGTTTTAATCAAACGATGCAAACGATGCAAACGAGATGCAGATTTAGGTTAACCTAATAAACATTTTGAATCATATAACCTACTTCATAGAAAACCAAACTTCAAGCGAACAAAGAGTAATACCACGTCCTATTTGGACATGATCCAAATTTATATTTGCTATAAATCGAGTGTTTATCACGTAATAAATGTCTTCTTCTTCACGTTTAACATCGTTTAGCTGAACAAAAAAGAAAATCGGAAAAACGAAAATATTGCCGTAAAGTTTTTAATCGAAAAGCTTTAAACTATATCAATAGTAAATGTCTCTTAAAAGTTTTACTGTGTTCATAATAACAAATCTCTTCTTTCCTGCTTTAAAATTTCGATGCGAAGTTAAAAGTTTAATATCAATATGGCAGAACTTCTATTTGCCACCGGTTTATATTGAAAATTCTTCCATCTATGTAATTGAAAAGTACAATGAAAGAAGGCATCGATTGCCAGTCGAGCCGCAGCGGCATATATCACGTGACGACCAATTTATCGAAAAATCGAGGATGAAACCGGTCACTGTTAAAAATTAGATGTCTACCTTTTGACATTACGAAAGTGTCCATAAAATATTTTGATCAAATTAAGCAGAAATGGAATACTAAGAAAATCTTAAAATAATTTTAATTATCCATAACCCATACATAGATTTCCCTGAACTACTTGCAAGTAGAAACATGTTTACCGCACGAGGAATACATAAGCAATTT